TGAAAGGGAATTTGAACCCCAAGATAAGTAGGACCATAGTATGAGAGCACCTGGTCGTCCTTGAGGAGTTCAGGTCCCCAGGACCAGATTAACTCCTGCCAAGGAATTCTAAGAGCTGGCAAGTGTGATTCACTTCCAGTGATCTTTGAAAGGTCATGGAGACTGGGGACAGGCTTCAGGATGTAGAAGGTCAAATGGTGTCCTGATTTTTAAAATGAAGAAGAGAGCGGAGTCTACAGACTAAAAGGAATTGTGATTGACTTTGATTTCTGGTGAAATTCTAGATGATATCATTAAAAATAACAATAATAAAAGCTCATATTTTTATAGTGCCTACTACGTGCCTGGCACTGTGCTAAGTAAGCTCTTTACAAATATTGTCTTACTTGATCCTCACAACAACCCTTGGAAATAGGTGCTATTATTATCCCCATTTTCCAGATAAGGACACTGAGGTAAACAGAGGTTAAGCAACTTGACCTAAGGTTACATTGTAGTAAGTCTCTGAGGCTAGATTTGAAATTGGATCTTCAGACTCCAACCCTAGCATGACTTTGTCAAGAATAGGCAGTGCCAAGCTAACTTTATCCCCCCCCCGCCGCCTTTTTTTGGCAGAGTTACTAGATCAGGAGAAGGTTTCAGATAAAATTTCTAAGTTTTAGTAAAGCAGCTGTCCTAGCCTTTCCTTGTTTCTTAGTGGGTGAGGTGGAGAGATGTGGGTCAGATGACATTATGTGTAGTTGGGTTGGGTTCAGGACTGCTTGAATGGCCAGATGCAGCGTCATTAATGGCCCATTCTGGATTTGGAAGGGTCTCCAGTAGAGCTCCTCTGGCCCCTGGCCTGGGCCTGGGCCATGGGCTGGTTAACACTGTTATCTCTGACTCAGATAAAGGGATGGGTGGGGTGTTCAGGGAGGACCAGCACCCACTTCTCCCCCCCCCAGGATGTACTCTCTTGTCCTGGGACTGGAGAATTGTCGAAGAGGCTTCCAAGGAATTGTGAATGATTTTAATGGATTGGTGAGAGGCACTTTGTTGTAAAAGAACTCAGTAAGATTCCAAGACAAGTGCTAGAGGCTGCTGTTAAAAAAAAAAAAAAAAGAAAGAAAGAAAAAGAAAAGTAAAACCTCTGTATGATTTTCACAGTTGAAGCAGCTCCAATGGGTTTAAGGTTCTGGTTAATTGAGATTTTACTCTGTTGATATCTTTGGTGTTCTGAGTGTCCATGCGATAAATCAGTCAATCTCTTGGGCGTTTGGGACAGCTAGACCACATGCGAGGTGTCAGAAATGTTTGTGTGTCATAGTCGTTTATTTTTAGAAGTTAGGTTGACATCCCAGTTCCCTCTTGTTTTTAGTTTTAGTTTCACTTTCCCTTGAAAGGGATCTTTTTTATTCTGTTAAGAGTTTTTGATCCAGATTAACCTTCAGACAGGAAAAAAAAATAGATAGCTTTTTGTCAGGTTGCATCTTTCATTATTTCTTTTTATCCCAAGAGTCAAAGAAGCATTTTCTGTTTTTATCTGTGAATTCATAAACTCTTGTTTGCAGTGATAAAATACCTCCAGGCAGCTAAAACTCTATCAAGCAATGAGCATGTTGGGAGTCGAATCATTTCAGGGCAAGGAGTCAAATGGAAAGTCTGCTGCAGAGCATTTTGCCTTGTCTTTTTGAAAACAATTTAACCACTCTCAAGAGCAAAGGCCCCTTTCCTTGTACTAGTAGTAGGTTTTATTGGCCAGAGATGAAAAAATAGTTTGGGTTTATGGCATTTGGATTCCTGGCATATGATGCATTAAGGAGCTGTTTTTTACCCTGTACATAAATAGGGGAGCAGACTGCCGTGGCTGTTGCCAAAGGAAAACGAATAAAGTGGATGTGGAGTCTGGTTTTAAGGCCATGGGTTGAGGAATATCTGAAATCTTCGAATCTGTGACAGTGAGGACGTTTTGCAGCTGCTAAGGAGGACATTGGAGCAGTGGCAGGCAGGGATTTGTGGGCCCCTTCTCAGCCCTATAACACCAGGGCCCCGGAGAGGAAAAGACTGGAAGTGTGTACAGATAGGGGCTGCCCAAGGAAGCTAACCTTCTCCTCCCTGCTTTTTGGCCTTGTTGAGGGAGGTGCCCAGCACCTGTTAAAATCCAGAAATACCTGCAGAGCCTGTGTGGCTTTTGTGCCCTAGAAAGAAGGCTCAGATAGGTGTAGTAAGGCTCCATTGTGGTCTTCAGTTAGTGGCTTCTGCCGCGTACATCTCTGCCTCTGGCCTTTTGTTCATGCTGTCTCCCTCGTCTTCCACTGATACCTGTCTGGATCTCCTTGTCCTCCGTACCCCAGCCTGAGGCCCAGCCTGTTTCATGAAGCCTTCTCTAACTTGCAGCTTATATTGATCTCTGAGTTCCTAGTGGATTTTTACATAGCACCAAATAGTCATTTGCTTGCTTTTGAATCTCTCCCTGTCTATTAATGTTGTCTCTCCCACTAATGTATTAGGCAGCAGGACATACCTAAAAATTCCCATTTACACAACTTTTTTTAATGAAGTAATTTCCTCATTAGCAATGATGTGAAGCAGATATTGCAGCTAGCGTTACTCCCAAAATACAGGAACCATAAGACCCAGAAAGGGGAGCGTGATTTGTGCCCATTAAATGTTGGACTGGAATTCTCCTTGATCCCAAATCCAGTGTTGTTTTTACAGTACAACAAATTCTTATCGATTGATTCGTGTTTGGATTTTGAATTTCTCTAACACAGCATAGCTATATAGATACAGAAACATAAACAACTTTGGATCGTTAGAGAAGGTTTAGAGATTCACCTTTAATCAGAATATAAGATTCGGTATCATATTGAAATAGAATGTAAGAAAAAAAACTTTGGGGGCTATGACAGAGTCGTTTGTGAAGATGGCAGACACTGAAAGTGACCAGGAGGTAGCCCCAGGAGCTGAAGTGGGAGCCGAGGGACATGGCCGCCAACCACTGCCCGCGATGGTGCCCGTCACAGAGGGGCCTGGAGCCAGGCTCAGGAAGAAAACCGGTTCGCTGTTGGAAAGATTCGTTGTGACCCACAACCCACAGGAGAGGCTGCACCCATTAAGTTGTTATTCCCAGCATTAATGAGATCGTGGCGATGCTCCAGAATCAGCTCTGTTCCGCACCAACAGAAAAGACCATTCCTGCCTTCAGGATTATCTGAAAAAGGTGAAGGGGCTAGAAGAAAAAACAGAAGGGGCAATGTCATCTGGACAGTGGAAAGATGATGACTGGAAAAGGGCAGCAGCTGTTTGGAGATTAATAAGGAGTGTAGAAAATCCATTTACAATCATTTTTCCCATTTGCTCGGTCTGATACCTGGCTAAATTCTTATGGCCAGGATAGTCTGAAGTGCTGAAGCCTTTCCAGGATGGTAGCGCTTCTGATTTGCTGTATACAGCAAGCCAGTCGCTTTAAGGATCCCACTGGGCAAATGGCATCTGGGCCTTAACCTTTTTTTTTTTCCACATGCCTCATCTATTCCGTCTTTATACAAAGTTTTAATTTACAAATAATTTTTAAAAAAAATTTTTAGCACACTTGCTCAAAAATAAAGTCCCAAGGCAGAATCTAAAAACTTTGTCTTCCTATCTGACTGCCTGAGCAGGATAGTTTGATATAGGCAGTAATTTGGAATCTAGAATTGAAGTAAACTTTGTCCATTTCCTGGAGTTCTTTGTTATTTAATAACGACAAATGACATCTTTACCCAGAATACTAAGACAGCAGTGCCTTCTCCAACTTGAGGCAGTATTTTTGGCCCGACACTCTGCAAAAGCATTATGACCATATCCTAAATTCTTAATAAACTCATGTATTTGTGACTAAGCCGTTTGGCTGCTGTGTAATGCAACTTTGGTTTTAGCATTATTGTGAGTCTAGATGCCTGTTTGCACATCTGGTCCAGGCAGATGTGGCCCTGCCCAGACTGCCCTCTCTCTTGTCCTGATTGGTGCCTCTTCTCCTGCTATTCATGTCAGGGGGAAGATCTTTGGCTCTTGGCGACTCTTTCCCTGGAGGAGGGAGAGTCAGGAGCTCTCGGCGCAATCCTGAGAGCTTTGGCTTTATTTCCCACCCCACCCCACCCCCCAACTCTTCAGACTTGAAGTCAGGCAAGTAGCCAAAGAGCAGGGAAGGTTTCAGATAGACCATAATAAAACACAGGGCTTGAGGCTTCAGAGTGAAAACATTTTCATGTTGTAAAGGCGACTGCCATTAAGTTTGTAGATCATGGGAGTATAGATTTCGTCTGACTCGGAAAAGGCTGTTAGGTCAGCATGCCCATCCCATTATGTGGAGCTGAGGAAGCTAGGTAAATATTAATGCTTTATGATACTTATTTCACTAGGTTGCTACAGGGAGAACTCTTCGTAACCTTAATGCACACTGTAAGTGTGGGCTTTGGACTAGAACACTGTGCTCCACAGAGTCACAAACTTTTGGGGTAGTGGTTACAAATGCTAATTGAAAATGAATTTCCAGGGTACTCAGAATAGAAAAGCATCTTGGTCCTGTTCTTGTCTTCAGACTTGTGTACTCAGATCATAACCACTGGTAGGACAGTTTTAAAGATGCAGCCCGATGCCCTTGTAGTCTGACTGAACAATTACATTCCTTCATGTATCTTTGGAAATCAGGCCATTGCGATCTCTGGTTAGTTGTGGACCAGCTGACTTCTCAAGTCCCCTCTAAGTCCCTCCGATTCTGGGAAACAAACACAACTCTAACCATTTTTTTTTTTGACAGCTTGAATTGAAGGAGAAGAGTTTGGTATTTTTTTCTTTTAGTAAAACTAAATAATAAAATCACAAGATCTAAACTTATGCTCTAGTGTTTTTTTAAGAAATGTTACTATTATGTTGGACATTTCATCTTGCTGAGATGTTACCATGTTAGATTCCTGTAGCTTTGTATAAATGAGTGCTATAAACACCGCTGATTGAGATTTTTCTTCTTCTCTTTTCAGGATTTTGTTTTTGCACTGAATGTAGCCTGGATTGATCCTCACGGGCTTCAGGAGCCCAGGGATACTATCAAAGGTACCAGTACATTTGTATCAATTCTAGATTGAGAATGAATGGGGCAGTAACTTTATGTGGAGAATAAGAACACAGTATTCTGAACCATCACTCGCTCCCCATTGCACATAGAATGGAGTCCAAGTTCTTGAGTACGATGGGAAGAAAGCAGATGGGGAAATAGCTGAATGGGGTAGAAAAGTCAATAAAAGATTTTTTTTTCTTGAAAGAATGCAATGACTGAAGCCTATGTGTAGGTAGGATCACAGATTGAACCTTGAAGGACCCTTAGAGGTCATCCAGTCCACCTATCTCATTTTACAGGTGAAGAGGTTGAGACCCCGAGGTTTTAAGTGACCTGCCCAAGTTACAGAGATGGTAAGTAACAGAGCTAGGTTTTGAACCCAGGTCCTCTGACTTAAGATACAGTATTCTTTCTTCTGTGAAGAGCCAGGGGTGAAGGAGAGATCAAGGGATGATTGATGGGGCAGGGTCTTGGAGGAGGCATCAGAGGAGATTGGATCAAGGAAAGAATTTCCTCTAAAACAAGAAGAAAGAAGTAGAGAATTGCAGATGAGAGTGAAAAGTGGCACCGAGAAATGAATTATGGGTTGAATTTCAACAAGGAAGAGCGGGCATTCCCAGCAGAATGAACAGAGCAGGAATATTTAGGTGGGAGATTGAAGGCTGTGCTCAGAAAGCAAGATGTAGTCCAGCATGGCTGTTGTACAGTTACAGGAAAGAGTAATTACAATGCATGGGTAGGAAAGAGTGTAGAGGAAGAGAGGTTACAAGGAAGGCTAATACTGTGGAGGGAATAATCACCAGGAAAGCAGATGTACTGATCCTTGCAGGTGGGGGAAAGATTTTTTTTTTCTTTTTGGTGAGGGAGTCGGGGTTAAGTGACTTGCCCAGGGTCACACGGCTAGTAAGTGTCAAGTGTCTGAGGCCAGATTTGAACTCAGGTCCTCCTGACTCCAAGGCCAGAGCTTTATCCACTGTGCCATCTAGCTGCCCCTGAGGGAGAGATTGAAAAGAGGAAAAGAAAAGAATTAGACTCTACATAGATGCCTCAGATTGCCTCTTAGACAGCAGAGGATGCGAATGTGATGGAATGTTATTACCTTGTGAGAAATGACCAGAGAGACAATCTCAGAGAATCCTGGTAGTTTGAACTGATGCAGTGAAGTGGCAGGACCAGGGGAATCATTTCTGTGAGGATAGCGATGCCGTCACGAAACACCCCTTTGAAAGACCTAAGAACACTGGCCGCCGCAATGACCAGCCCCTCGTCCCCAGGACAGAGGATGAAGGACGTCACCCATCTGCTAGCAGGGGGGTGGGGGGCCTGGGGAGCGGAAAGAGACAGGCATTTTTGGACATGGCCGTGTTTAGACTTGCTTTGCTTGGCTAGCAGCAGTGGTCTTCCCCCAAAGAGTGCCACTGTCTCAGTTTTGAACGTTCACAAGAGGGAGAACAGGTAGAAATTCAGAAGGAGGTGCAGACAAGGGGGCGGTTCTGAAGGCCGCGCATCGGGCACAAGTGATGTGGCCTCATAGAGAAGGCCGTTAGGATCCACTGGGTATGTGGAAACGCTGCTTCTGAGGGTTTAGATTCAGATGCCAATGCGCGCCCTGATGCTTCTCCTTCTTTCTCCCCCATCTTGCCCTTGCGTTGATAGGCCTCTGTCGAAGGCCAGAGCCCGGCCCAGCCTCACCCAGTCCTGCTCCTCCTCCTGCTCATCTTTTCTCTCCTCCTTTGTCTTCAGGGAGAACACACCCACTCGGTTCTTCTCCCTCTCCCTAAGCCCTTCAGTTGCTCCTCTTGCCTGACCCCTTGGGACGGCCATGCCTGCAGTTCTGCCCTCCATCCACTCGTCTCCTTTCTTTACGCAGTCCCTTGGCATTCAATATCTAACTTTCAGAACATCAGCTGTCACCTCTATGATGTAGCACTGCCAATAACAAGCATTTATTGAGCACTGACTGTATGCGGAGCACTGTGCCAGGTGCTGGGGGGGACAGAATGTTCAATAGGACATAGTCCTTGCTCTCCTGGAGCTTCCAGTCCAGTAAGGAGATGAGACACCCACCCAGATGGCTCTGTAAAGGGGAGAGACTCTCCAGCATGAAGGGCTGGAGACATAAACTGCTGAGAGATCGTGGGAGGAGGAAGACTGAACAGAGACAACGAGTGAGGCTCATTCAGAGGGTCGAATGGAAATGTGATTGTGAGGGCGACGGAGCAAGGGGCTGCTGGCACAGAGGCATCAGGTGTTTGGCAGATAATGAAATAATTATAATAGCTAGCATTTAAATGGCGGAGTGCTTTACAATTAGTAACTCATTTTATCCTCACAGCAACCTTGGGGGGCAAGTGCAGTTATTATCTCATTTTACAGATGAGAAAACTGAGGCAGACAGCGGGTAAGTGACTTGCCAGGGTCAGTCACACGTCTAGGACGTATCTCAGGCAGGATTTGAACACAGGCCTTTCTTGCTTCAAATCCAGCTTTCAGTTCACCGCACCACCCAGCTGTAGTTAAGGCTTTTCAGAAGAAGAAGGTCTGAGCCTGTTTATGAGAAGATTATGGGGAGCTAGGGGCGAGGGGGAGGTTGGAAATGCATGAGAGAGAAGGTGATGTCCAGGAGCGCCTGCCTGTCTGCCTGCCTAGCAAATCTCTGCTCTGCAGCCTCACTTCTCCCCAGGTTGCTGATCGAGACATCTGCCTTCCTGTGGATGTCAGCCCAGTAAGTGAGGCTCAGCGAGTTTAAAACTAAGCTGGTTATTTTCCTCTCACTGTCTGTGCTTCCTTTGGACAACTGTTCTTCTCAGTGGCACCGTGACTCACCTGTGTTGACACTGTAGTGAGGCCTGTAGCCTTCCCTCCCAGTCTGCTGTATCTGCCCCTCAGGACTCCAGGAGCCCCCGAGGGTTTGGGGAGCATCCCATCAGCTCTAGCCCTGGCACATGAGGCCAGTGACAAGCTCCCCACCTCCAGTTAACCACTTAGCAATAGTTAGCTTTGTCCAAGGGACATTTACTTCAAAGATCCCATTTCCCCCAGTACCTTAGGGCATGTTTTCCCCACTCCCACCCTCCTCGGTCCTTGGGCAGGGAGGCTTAGTTTCATTCAATTCCGACGCAGCGTTGGCCCCCAACTTCACATGTGTAGGTGGCATCTCTGCTGGATGGGTCCTCATCTCAGTTTCCCAAAGGTCACTCCTTGCTCCTCTGGACATCGATGCCATGCTGGCTCTGGCCTGCAGCAATGCCAGGGTGCTATTTTGACCTTTCAGACGCCCAAGGTCAGAGGCTTCCATCTCCCTCTTCTCGAAGGGAAAAGAAGGAATTCAGAGGGAGACCAAGGACTGAGGCCCTTTCACAGTCCCCAGGGCCTCAGAGTGGATAAAGCCCTTTCCAGTATTGCCTCTTACTGGGGATGGCGAGTCACAGCCCTCGAGCATCGCTGAGGGCACAGGGGCTACAGGGCTGCAGCCAATGCTAGTGGACATTTTGAATGGTGCCCCAGCCGGTTCAAGAGTGAGAGGGTCCCCTTCTATGACAGGAGGTGACCCCTGGGGCCTTCTCCCCCCCCCAATACCTGGGTTCTGCTTTTCTTTCTCCCTTAGGTTACTATTAATTGTCCTTCCACAGTCTCATCTGCTCTGTCCTTCTGCTCCCCATTTGTCCTTCCCACTGTGGATGAGTCTTCTTTGTGCGTCGTCCTTTGTGATGGCTGTCCTGCTCAGTTCCACCTCCTTCACTGACTCCTTGTTGTCCACTGGTGATGATTCCATTCGGTTCCATCCAGTGTACATCCGGTGAGCGTCGGCTCAGTGCCATCTGCAGTTCTAGGCAGAGCCACAAACAGTTCATGCCCTCGACCAGCCTACCCTTTACTTGGAAGGGGGGCAGGGTGGGGCAGAGCAGAGCCCAGACACTTAACTGTTACAGGAAGGACAGGACTCTCCTGAGAAGGGAAAATGAGTGTGGTTCCAGCTCTCTGACCTGACAATCAAGGCCATTCACAGTCCAGATGGACCGTCCTTCCTCCACCTTCACCATTCCAGCTGTAAATTCCTGCCCTGCTCCTGCTTTCTTTCCTTCCTCCTTCCATACATTCCCAGGTTGACCTTTCTTCCCCTGGACCTCATGAAGTACTTTGTTTACCCTTGTTAACATGCTACAGAAATGAACTGTTAGACTTCCTTTTATATAGGTCATTTTCTTTGACTGGATCACAAGGGCCAGGAAGAGGGGCTGTCTTATCCTAATTTTGCTTCCCTTTCCCTGCTTGTGTTTTTGGAAAGGCTCATCTCCAAGCATCCTCTTTTTCAGAAAGCCTTCTCTGGTTTTCCGCAGCTGCCACTGCTCATTCTCTCTGAACTTTCATAGCTGTCCAGTTTATATTTCAATCCTAGCACTCGGTACGTTCTCCTTTGGGTTCTCATTGTTTCTGTCTGTCTTTTCTCTGTAGCTTATTGTAAGCTATCGGAGGTGAGGGTCTTACTCATTTTTGTTTCCAGTAAATTACCGTGTAGTGCTTTATACATCCCAAGCTCTCAGTATGTGTTTATTGAATACATGAATGAACAGTTACCCTTTAGAGACATGGATAGAAATTTAAACCCACTACTTCACCTATTTTGAGTGCATATACACCAGACCAAATGCAAATATGTTTCAAGTACCGGAATTTAGGATATAAAAGTTGGAGACCATTTGCTTTGATCTGTGAAACTTAGAAACCAGTGTCCTGGTTACTGAAATTTGACTTGAGTATAATTGTGAATATTAAATTAGTTTATTATCTCATTTGTTCTCAAATGGAGAGGAGTTTTAAAAAATCCTTTTCTTCTAAATTTTATGGAAAACCCAGGATAGATACCACATGATACCACTTTTAGGTAGTCATCAACATGTATTGACTTCTGGACTGTGTGCTGAGCATTTTGTAAGTTCAGGACTGCCCATGTGGTCAGCATTTGCCACATGTTCTGACCTAGTGACTGACCTGTGATGAAATGATACAATGGAGTTAGAATTCGGACATAGACATGTCCTTAATCCTGTGATGACTTTAGCATTATTTGGCTCCTCCTCCCAATCACCATCCCTTGGCCTCTTCCCAACTCTGCTAGGACCACCCTTCTTTCTCCCTTCTCCTTCCTTAGGTTAAGTTGCTACCTTGACCTGATACTTCCTGAATACACAGATCCCACAAACATGTTCCCTTTACTACCTTCTCACTTCCTACCAGGGAAATATTATGAGCCAGTTTGCCCAAATCCAACTTAGATACCAGTGTCCCGGGCAGTGTCTGTAAAATGGACTCCAGGAGATTTGATGTAGTTGAGAGATGTAGGGTGTGCCCACCTGAAAAGTAGGAACATCAGCAAAGCAGTGACTGCAGTGAATGCAAACAGGGTTCAGGTGTATGGGAAAACCCGAGCTGAGTCATGTCAGGTTAATTGGGCACTGCTTCCCTTCAGACTTGAGTTATCATCTGAGTTTTTAAAGGAAGGCTGTGACGTGGATTATGGAGGAAGGGAGGACCTTTCAGTTGAGGGAAAGAGGGTACCTTTTGAGTCTATGGAGCATAAAGAATGTGTAAAGTCACCGTGTCAGGGACAAGAAAGTTGCGTGTGGATGAGGGTGGGCAGTTCTGCTCAGTTGGGACAGAGTACACCGGAGACCAGCAAGAAATAAAGTTGGTGAAAAGCTTGAGAGACAGCGTGAATGATGGTCTTAGAGCTAGTATGAAGAGGTGAGTGACTGGCCCAAGAGATTGAGTTCAATTTTTGACATGTTAAGTTTCAGGTGCAATTGAGGCATTCAAAAGGAGACATCCTGTGTGGAGCCAGAGATATGGGGCTAAATAAAGTGTGGGAAGATTCTGAGCAGGAAATCTCCATTTGTGAGTTCATTTAGGCAACAAGTTTTGTTGAATGCCTGCTCTGTAGAGGGAGCACAAAGCATATAAAAGATTCAGTCCCTGCCTCTAAATAGCTTACAGTTTAGTTCAGGAGACACGCACACACACACACACGCACACACACACACACACGGGGGAGTATGCTGCACGACAGACAGACAGAAACACACACACATACCCCACACATACAACACACCATGGAACAAAGAATAAGGGTTAAAATGGGCTGCTGAGAAGAGCTACAATAGAAATATAAAGAAAGGAGAAAGTGGCATGATTTAGAGTAGGGTTGGGGAACCTGCAGCCTCCAGGGTACATGTGGCCCTCTAGGTCCTCAAGTGCCATCCTTTGACTGAATCCAAACTTCACAGAACAAATCCCTTAATAAAAGGATTTGTTCTATAATACTTGGACTCAGTCAAAAGGTTGCATGTGGCCTCGGGCCTGTAGATTCCCCACCCTGGTTTAGAGTACTTAAAGAAAGTGAGGCTTGAGCTGCATCCTGGAGCATGGGGAGGATTTGGATCTATAGAAAGGAAAGCATGGCTGGCGAGGGAGCGTCAGCAGCAGAGCACCCGCATTTATGAAGACCTCCCACCAGAGCTCTCCTCCAGCTTACTGCTTTGGAGCCCACAGCTGAAGCTCTCGGTCCCACTCTCTGTCAGAGAAAAGCACAGTGTTAGAAGGAAAGGCAAAGGCCCCTTCACCTCCTCCCTCTAATCCAGGGGCCGGAGCAGGGAGGAGGAGGCGAGGAAGAGTCCAGGGAAGCCAGTCTTCCAAGGCCACTTGTGACATGATTGTAGCAAGACCCCCATTCGGGAAACCATCCGTCATGTCTTCAGCTGCTTAGGCTTGTGCCATTCCTAGCGGCAGAAGTGATGTGAGGGCTTCCTATTATCTTTCTCGAGGGCAAGCACTGGTTCATTTTTTGTCTTTTGTAAATCTAGCACCCAGCACAGTGCCGGCCTAGAACATGGTGGGCATTTAACGCTTGTTGATTGCTTGATTGATCCATGGCACCTTTCGGTGACAGGGAGTTTGTCTGTGTATAGGCAGTAATACCAATTGAAACCACATGAACAAACAAAGACCTCGGGAAAAAGGGATAGATTACCAGGAGATGACATTCTCTTGTCTCTTTCATGTTGTATTCTGGATGGGATGCACTTAAAAATGACTAGGAATTGAAAAATATTTGTATTTGGATTATAGAGGGGATTTGTGTTGTATATTTGAATAATTATTTATCAAGGATCATATTTTTGATTCATTAAAAACGGTGCTTTTAGAAATTTTCAAGTCTGTCAAACTTTAATAAAATTGTAATCAATTTATATATAAGCTCATTATAATTAACTTGATTCATTTAACCTTTTTAGAGGAAAAATGACAACTTCTATAGTATCTTGAGCAACAAACTTATTCTAGTTAACTAGGGTACAATTTGTTTTCTAAATACGTAAATTTTTTTTAATGTAGGGATAGTAACTACAACACATTTTCATACCACCTAAAGAAACACTGAGAATGTTAAGCATAAAAACATCAGCTCAAGGGGCCCAAGCAATTGAAATACTTAGCCAAATAAAACCGAAAAATCTGGCTTTGTTCAGTGCCCCCATTCTCCCGACCTCACAAAATAAACTGCCAACTAATTAAAGGCCGACACTTGAGTTATTCATGGTCCCAGGCGCATGTGATTTCAGCAAACCCTTTGAAAACAACATATTCTCTTTTTGTGTGGTGACTTCATTGTATTTTTTCCTTTCTCCTTTCTGTTTCTCTTAGGCCGTATTTGTGTGTTTCTGCAGAGTTTTGCACAGATTCTGTTCCCATGCAAACCGATGAGGGAGAAATATTGGAAGAAAGCTGCTCGGAGGTTAGTGAAGGGTTGAGGGTCAGTGGTTAAAGCGTCGCTCTGGACACTGAGGAGGTGTCTCTGAGGGAGGGGGAGGCATGAGAAGCAGTGTTCTTCTGGTCAGCTGAGATTGATGGAGCACCTGTCATGTGCTCGTTGTCTTACGAGTTATATTCTCTCATCACCTCACCTGTAGTTTGCTAGTGTAGAAGGGGAACATGATGTATTTTAAATCATAATTTGTTTTGATACTTGTTTAAGACGTATTTCAAGTAAATTTTCATTGAAGAATGATCTGTTACCTGAAGAAATTACTCCCAGGTGAACTTTCTCTGACTCATTGACGTTAATCACCATGTAGCCCACTGTGTGCCCAAGGCAAACCCCTGCCCCTCCCTGGGCCTCAGTCTCTTCCTCTGTCAGATGAGGGGCCAGTTGGCCTAAATGTCCTCTCAGCTCCCTTCCACCTCCTGTAGCTGTCTGGTAGACTTTTTGATCAGGCCATATTATGGAGCACCTATCATCAGAAACGTTGATCCCACACTCTCATTTTGCCAAGCCAGATATCTGGACTGAAAAAAATAGTTGAATGGAACAGTTTGGGACTCCCTCCCCCCAAGCACACATCCTCCAAATTCCTCCCATTGTTTTAGTAGACCTTCTGTCTGCCGTTGGGGTCTGCTTTCTTCTGGGATTCTGCCTGCTAGGATTGTGGAATTGTTCCCTTCCTATTGGAACCCAAGCTTTTCCTTCATCGTTAGAGGCTCTTTTGCTCCTCGTGTCTTCATTTTCTCTACCGAGGACGGCTGGCCAGGGGCACTGCCTTCGCTGTTTCTTCTAGATTGATCTTGGCTACACAACATCTGGAGTTACTCTGGAGGGTTTTTTAGTGCGGAGCTGGGTGGGGAGGAGGAGGTCGATTTGCAGCCATGGAGAGCATCTGGGTCTTTCCCCCTAAGGGGATTCCTAGAGTGAGTGAGCAAGACTACACAGAAATGGCCTTTGGTCTCAGAGGACCTCGGCTCACGCTTCTTCTTTGGCTTTCTACCCATGATGCTGAGCAATCACTTCACCTTTCTGGGCCTCAGTTCTGTCATCGTTACAATAGAGGGTGTGGACCTGATGGCCTCTGGAGTCTACTTGTACAATTACCACCTGGGTTCAGACCTTTATCTCTTTCTAACCTAGAATACTGTTAGAGTTTCCTAATTGGTCTTTCTGCTTCTGGGGTCCCTCTTTTTAATCAACCTCATTCTGTCCTCACTCCCGCCACCCACATTTATGAAAAACAATCAATTTAAATTTCATACATGATTAAAAATCACTGTTGTCGCTCAGTTCTTTAGTCGTGTCTGATTCTCCGTGACCTCATGAACCACAGCACGCCAGGCCCTTCTGTCCTCCCCTAGCTCTCAAAGTCTGGACAAGCTCACGTTTGTTGTTTCCATGGCATTATCTATCCATCTCGTCCTCTGCTGTCCCTTTTTTCTTTTGCCTTCAGTCTTTCCTAATCTTTTTCAGTGAGTCCTGTCTTCTCATTATGTGGCCAGAGTATTTAAGCTTCAATTTCAGTATTTGACCTTGCAGTGAATAGCCTCAATTAATTTCTTTAAGTATTGACTGATTAAATCTCCTTGCCTTCCAAGGGGCTCTCAAAAGACTTCTCCAGCATCACAATTCAAAAGTGTCAGTAATGCTACTCTCTGCTTTCCTTATAGTCCAACTCTCATAGCCGTATGGTGCTACTGCAAAAAGCCATAGCTTCAGTTATTCAGACCTTTGTCAGGAAGGTGACATCTCTGTTTTTTAGCATGCTGTCCAGATTTGCCATAGCTTTCATTACAGTGAGCAAGCATCTTTTAATTTCATGACTCCAGTTGCCGGCTGTGGTGATCTTCGAGCCCAAGAATATAAAATCTGACACTGCTTCCATTTCTTCTCCATCTGTTTGCCAGGAAATGATAAGACCGGTTGCCAAGATCTTAGTTTTTTTTTTTTTGGATGTTAAGCTTCAAGCCAGCTTTTACACCCTCCTCTTTCACCCTCATCAAGAGGTTTCTTAATTCCTCTTCACTTTCTGCCATCTGAGTGGTATCATATGCATAACTGAGATTGTTGATATTTCTCCTGGAAACCTTGATTCCAGCTTTTGATTCATCCAGCCTGGCATTTCACATGATGTACTCTGCAATATATGTTAAATAAATAAAATGACAGGGTACAGCCTTTTTGAACTCTTTTCCAATCTTAAACCAGTTAGTTGTTCCACGTTCAGTTCTAACTGTTGCTTCTTAGCCCGCCTACAGGTTCCTCAGGAGACAAGGAAGATGATCTGGTACTCCCATCTCTTTGAGGACTTGGCACATTTTGTTGTGATCCACACTATTATAATAAATAAAAAAAATCACTATTGTACCCTAATTTATTAATTAATAAATAGAAAAAAGCAGAAATAGCTTTATAGTGATATATTTAAGAAACATACTCACTATAACCAATTTGGGTTTCTATCAGGAACATATGGGTTTAATGCTAAACCCTGCATTGTGCTTCCATCAAGCCTATGTTTACCTCTTTGTAACTTTCTATTATTTGGCCCTCTGGGATCATTCAGAATAGTGGCCTCCTTCTTCTGCATAATAGCAATCCTGACCTATCTGGGGATTATCATGATCTCCCTCTTCTCATGTCTGTGTATCCCCAGTGACTTCAATCCTTTGCCATATCGGTCATTCCTCCCTTGTGTGGTTGCACTACCACACGCCTGCAGTTGACACAGGTACTCACAGGGGCACTGTCATTCCCTTCCTTGTGGACACTGCTTCCCTTAGTGTCATTTACTATCAGCTGAGCTTCTGTGGCTGCTGTATCACAAAGTACAGCGTATTAATGATAAAAGCAACCAAAATAGCTTGATTATCTTAATAGATGCAGAAGAACCTTTGACAAAATATAGTCATTTAAAAAGCACATAGATAGATGGATCTTTCCTTAAAATAAGATAAATAGTATTTATCTGAAACTGAGAGTAATTATGATTGGTAATGGATAAACATTAGAAGCCTTTTTAGTAGTATCAGGGGTAAAGCAAGGGTGTCCATTGCCATATGTTGGCAAGAGGGAAGGACATGATAGCAGGATAGATAGGACAGAAAGCAGGGTGTCATTGAACTGGTTAGTCATAGAATCGAGACTGTCTGTGAAGGGAGGAAAATGAGGCCAGAAGACAGTTGATGGATGAAGAAAATAAGAGAGATTGAGGGACTGGATGAAGACTGTGGTGAGGCTTGAGGAGAAGAGTCACAGGGACACCTGGAAGGACAGGAGAGTAGGATAAGACCTCTCAGTGTTACAAGACTCAGGAGGAGGAGAGCTGACATCTGTGTAGCCTTCTGGTGTTGAAAAAGGGCTCTCATTTGGTCCTCACAACACTCCTGGAAAGGGAGATATTCCAGTTTACAGATGAAGAAATTACAGTTTGGAGCGGTTCTATGACTTGCTCCTCGAATAGTTAGTACTTGCACCCCTGTCTTTCCTGAGCCCTGAGTCTAGCTCGGGGGTCTCCTTCTGCCACCCCCACAGTGCCAGACAACAGGGATGGCACACAGTGTCAAGCCACAAGCTTTACTGTCATTTGTATTTAATTTTTTAACAAAAATAATTTTATAAAAATTAATTTAAATTTTAGAAGTTATTAAAATCACGGAAGCACTGTAGTTTGTTTCACACTCCTGTGATAAAGAAGAGTTTATGCAGCACAGTGACTAGGCAGAGCAGCCTTTGCAGACCAGCGGCTGGGAAGGGCAACAGACTGTGGAGAAGACTCAGTTTTGCCTTTTTTTTTCCAAGGACACAGAGGATTGTTGAAGGTCTTTGAACAGAAGAGTGACATGTTTACACGGGTGTTTTAGTATGACTGGTGGGGAGGGGGTGGTCTGCAGAACACGTTGGGAGGACTGGGGAAGAGGGTGAAAGCAAGAGGACCAGTTAGAAAGACAGTGCAATGCTTGAGGGTGTGGGAGAAGAGCAGGAGGCCAAAGAGGGAGAACTAAGGAAGAAACTCTGTCTTTATCCCAGAAGCCCAAGGAGTCGTGTTGGGTGTCAGGGGGCAACGTGAAAGAACAAGACCTGAGACGAGGGATGGGCAGGAAGTAGAGGCATCACAGGCAGCCCGTGGGTCCCTGGAGTGGCTGGGGGAATAAAAGAGAGGCTATCAGGGTGCTGCCTGCAGGAAAGAGCTGTTCGGGAGGATTGCGAGTCTCCAGCAAGAAGTTTAAAAGCAGTGGACAGTTCTCCAAGGTCCTCCAGCCTGCAAGAGGCTCCCCGCTTGAGCCAAAGTGAAGCCCAAAGTGCCTCAGGTCTGCCCCCCAGTGTCCTTACTTGAAAGAGTCCTGGCTGGTGTTGTGGGGGGCCGGGCGGGAGTTAACTCACACCCCCTCGCGTCCACCAGGGTACTGGCCCACAGCGTCCTGACCCGTGGCCACCAATAACAGGAGGTCAGGGTCACAAAAGTCAGCATTTTGCACGGCAGCCCACCCCTTCCTCCTTGCAGCAGGAGTGAAGGGGGCCGATCACATGGACCTGTCCCCACTGCCAGCCTGTCTGACTGGCTGGGACTCCTGTTTCTTTTGACCAGAATGCGTCCTGCCGCTGCTTAAATGAGGTATTAATATGAGGACCCTGGTACTTTTTTTTCAATCTGTAGATGTGGCACCACCAAGATGGAGAGATGTGAGAAAGATTAGTGGTGAAGTTGATAGTACTTGGTAACTGGATTGACTCTGAGAGGTCAAGGAGAGCCGAGAGCCAGAGGTAACCTCTGGCCAAGGTTTCCGTCAGGGGAATATGGGCGAGGGATGGCACCACTGACAGAAGAAGTAGAGGAGTCTAGAGGGACAGATGAGGACGCCATATCTGAGGGCCTGGGGCCATGGCCAGAGGTGGCTTTGGATGTGTCACCAGATTCCCAAAGGAGAGAGGAGGACCAAGAGTGGGACCTCGGAGAACACCTCCCTCCTGGA